GGCTCTAGTACAGAGACAAGAGTCTTCTAAGTCATAAGTACGCACTAGGTGGTACCTTGTGGGTCGTAATTATCCGAAAATACCTGCTTAGTCTAGCAATCACATGTCCTAGTTTTTCCACTATTTGATTTCCCATTTAATTTCAAGTTGTTAATCATAGATTGCTTGTAGCTTGAGAATTAATGCTTGCCTTGGATATTTGAATCATATTTAGTATACTTGAACTTGTATACTTGCTCCATGAGTTTAGATTTCATTTAGTATGATTGTGCCGTGTATACTTGTTTTAGGCATATCTCTCTTAGCTTAGTATACTTGTGTTGGTATACTTGATTTACGAGATTTTCATATAAAATGCATACTTGTGTAAATATGCTTAGACATTGCATGACTTGTCTTAATGTGGTTTAGTATACTTGGAAATGTATGCTTGTATGTTGTATAACATGTTTTAACATTGCTTAGTATACTTGAGCATGTAAACGTGTATGCCGTTGTTCACTTTAAATTGCATGAGTAGCTTAGGATGATCCCTGAGTCTCACTTTGACATAGACGTTAGGTGGTATGAGCCCCTTTAATATGTTTCACTTAAGGTGATATAATTGTAAAACGCTAGATCGATGCATGCTCATCTCCTACGAGTAGCTTTATGTTACTCACCCACATAGTGGGGACATTTTTCAGGTACAGGGACCTTGATTTGGGATGCACACTACGCCATGGAAGTTTCGTAGACTTGAAGTATCATTTTCATGAAAATGTTGGCATGAAATCCTATTAGTAGTTTTGTATGTCAAAACTTATAGTCTTTGATTTCCTTTATGCAATGTGTACATAAGTACACTCGTTTGTAATGTATTTGACATGTATGAGTTAAGGCCATAGGCCAATGGCATCAAGTTTGTACTCTATACACTTTCCTTTTCAAGGTTTATTATGAAAATATTGTAAAATGCCAAGTTATTGTTTCATAACTTTTGCATTGGGCATGGGAATTCCATTCTTTTTCTTTCATAGGGTTTCTATGATCATGTATGAGGTGTGGCCAAGGGCCAAACACCATTTCATTCTAGGTTTCGCATTTTGGTTTTATTTATTGTATTTCTAAGCATTTTTGGCCGTTGAGAGGTCATATTTTGCATTGGGGTTCTTTTGAGGCCGCGGACCATTGGGACGCGTCTTAAATGCCATTTTACACTTGCGTGCATGCTCACATGCTCATTTCTCCTTAAAAAGGATCAGCTTTTGACCTATGCATGTGCATAGAATGAACCCCATAGGTTCTCTTGCAAATCTCACATGTTTTATAGAGTTTTCAGCAGTTTTCGAGGAGTTTCGGACAATATGCTAATAAATGATTAATTAAATATGCAACTATATATTTAATTAAATATACAAAATAAAGCAATAAATTAATAAATAATAAATAAAGAACCTGGACTGATGCTAGTATTGAATACTATGTCCTTAAGACAGATTCATCCCGCTATGGTGCTAACAGACTCAGTGGCGTCTATCTCCTAGGATACAATAGTCTATATCCACCAGTAGCAGCACTATAAACTCATGGATACGGCAAACCTCCTCCGTGTAATACTCTCTCTGATTCAAAAATGCATCTATACTGTATAAATGCTAAATTGGATGCAATCTGATCCAAATGGTTCGGACCAATCTTAATATGGTTCGATGAAATTAGATTATGGTCTAAGTAGCTCAAGTCACTTGACCTATGGTTTGAACCCACTTGGGTTGGGTTCAAGTCTAGAGAGGGAAAGAGAAAAAATTGAATTGAATGAATTGCAAATGGCAGCCCAATGAGGTATTTATAAAAATAGATGTGCCTTTTTAGATTGGGTGTGTCTCTTTATCATTTGACACAACCATTTATATGTATTTCTTCATCATTAGACACAACCATTAATATGTGTCTTTTCATTACTAGACATAACCATTTATATGTGTCTCTTCGTCACCAGACACAACCACTTCAATTGGTTGCAATGGTTCACATGGTGTCTGTTCACCATTAGACATATCCACTCCAATAGGTTGCAATGGCTCATATAGTGTCTGTTCACCACTAGACACATCTACTCTAATAGGTTATGTCTGTTCATTTTAAGTTGCATCTTTTCATTTCGCAACCAACCAGAAATCAGACCTATTCAGTCAAAGACATTTATTGATGTCTAATCAAACAATTTTCATTCATAATTTCTAACAATCCGCCCCCACATAAATGGAATTTGGCTCCGTAAATACAAAAGATGATCATGTAGACACTAGAGAGAGTATAGTCGGAAAGTTACTGCATCGAGATAGGTAGCTTTTGGCCTTGAACCTTCCTTAGTGTATTGTTATCGGATTTACTGGTTAACCAGTGAACGTGATGTCTTGAACTGTTAAGCCGTTTGTGTAAACCAAGACAATAACAAACACACAGTACCCTTCCTCACAAAGTTGGTTCTCATTGTTGTGTTCATTTTGACCCCAAACAACTCCTGGTATTCAGTGAGTGCTTCATAAAACGTGGTCTTTATAATTCTCATAAAAGCTGTGATGTTTCTGTTTTTCACCATTTTTCATTTTTTAGGAATTTTTTCGATTTTTCAAGAGTATTTTCGTCTTGTCTCGTTTTGCATGCCGGACACCGTAAGGTGTATCGGGTGTTTCAGAGTGTTGATTAGGACGTTTCTTTGAGTTCAAGACTCTTGGAAATACTTTGGTTGTCATTTCGGTATTTTTTTATTTTCGAGTCGGAAGGTCTCAGGTGGGACCCGCTACAGGGGTTGTTGAGCATGAAGGTTGTGTTCCGGTTATGAAGTTTAGTTAAACAAATCTTATATTTATGCAATCCTTGTTTTATAAATTTTCAGTGCATATATTATTTGCAATATTTGGATGTACGATTTTGTGATATATGAATTTTTAATGTTCGAGAAAATTAAGATTTAAATAAAATGGCAATTTAATCCAAATATCAACTATTTTACCCTATTAAATAGTTGATGAGGGGTTCTTTGGTAAAAAATTAAACGAGGTGATTTATTGTAAAAGATCACAAGTCGAGGGGTGTTATTTGGTAAAAAATTAGACGAGGAGTTTACTGGAAAAGACTACAAGTCGATGGGAGGTTTTCTGTACTTTGCACTAAAAAAATTTGAAATTAAAACGACTTTTCAAAAAAAAAAAAATAATAAAAAAAATAATTATAACACTGGAGACTAGAAAATTAATATAAAACTGTTACAAGAATAGGTTTTTTTTTTTTTTTTTTTTTTTTTCAAGAATTAAAAATATTTGACAATTTATTTCTAAAATTATTTGGGTAATTAGGTTGGGTGTGGGTTTGGCCCAACCCATTTAACACCCAACGAATTTTTAACCCACCATAATGAGTTGATAATGGGCTAGTGATCCATTACTGTCTTGTCCATTCATGATCAGCCCAAAACTCGTCCAAACTCACCTAATTGCCCGCCCTACAATCCACCAAAATATATCAGAATTAATGCATACCACTGCTTCAAGATGGTTATCAATTGAATCAATGTATTAATCTGCAACAAAGATTCTACTGACTCTAAAAACTTGATTTGTAAATATTTCGATCTCCGTAGGGATACTACACGTGAGTAATTTGCCAAGATTATGGTTCACAGTCATGATATCCATCACCAGGGGCGGATCTAGAAATTAAATTCAAGGGGGCATAGTGTAAAAAAATAAAAATAAAAATTCAATAATCACGATAATAAATATAAATTCTATAAATCAAGAAACAGAAGAAAAATTACTCAAAATAATATGTCAATCAATGAGTAATTTAAGAGAAAATAGTTAAAAAATAAAAATAAAAAGGAAAGAAAAATAAGAGAATTTAATAAGGGGAAGAAAAAAAAAAAATTAGAATTTGATTCAAAAAAGAAAATTTAACTTTTAACTTTTTTAAAGGAAATTAAAAGAATTTAACCTACTTCCAAATGGAGGTTAGGGTTCTAAATTCAGTGAAGGCATGTGTGTGTAACTACCAACTAGGAATAAATAAATAAAAGAATAAAAGAATTTAAAGAGTAAAAAAGAGAAGAAATTAGAAAATAGAAATTGAGGGAGGGGTGTAAAAATATATAAATTTAATATATATATTATAGTAAGCGGGGCGGGGCAGGGCAAGGCCATGGTGCATACACTGGCTCCGCCCTGTCAACCGCAATAGAATAAATTCAAACGAATATCGGTGTAAACCAGCTAGTTCACAAAGGTGTCTCAAACTAAAATAAAATTATTACTACTGTATCATCTTGAGTGGCCCCGGAGTGTCAAGGTCTCCTCCGGTCACTCAGAAGCAGAGGTTTTCGACTACCCAACTGAATCGCTTTCGGTATCCTTGCACTAAGTGTGGCTTCAATAAGCAATTTGATCTGCAACTGTTCCAACACAAGATTCTGTGAGCTTGAATAACAAGAAGAGAAGAATATGTACGAGTGTTTATCCATTTACCCACTACTATAGCAAGAGAAGAAACATTTTGCAGGCTATTTATGTTTGTCCTTACAAACTTAATGTCTTAAAAAACGAAACTTAAGAAATGTAAATAACATACACCAGAATGTTATATCATAAAAACAATAGGGCATCCTTAATCACTATTCTTTTACACAACACATTAAAAGAACGCAACTAACAGTGATACATACACATTTGAGAGATGCACACAAAAGCAACGACAAACCAAAAAACAAACAGAACAATCGCAACACAAGTAAACAAGTTCTTACTTAGCCATCTCAATAAAACAAAAGAAGAAGAAGAACACAAGTACATCATAACAACAAAGGAAACCACAAACAAATAAGAACAAACATCAATAAGTGAATTTGAACTTTTGACATACCAGAAAGAAAACTGCAATTCAGAACAAGGTCATTTGAACTTGGTAAAACATAATAAAAACTACGAATCAGCTACGCATAAAAGGCACCCAACGCATTCAAGTATTCCACATGCCACCCAATATATAAATAGAGAGATGCTAAGAAACCCAAGAGCATAATTTACAAAGCCCGCCAAAACAATATCCATGAATGTGTTCCATTTTATCTAAGAAACAGCACATGCCCATTTGACATGTACCCTGAGAGAGATATGTCATAGGAACCAGACTGACACATTATGAAGCTATAACCACAATGACACCCATCAAACCAGCACAAAGACTCAAGACACTGAAGCAACAAACAAATTCTTGCCAATGACAGGGAATATAGAGTGAGTTCTTCAAACTGGAGAGATGTCCCAACTGTCACCCAGGATATATAGCAAGCAATATAAAAGGACATCTGACACAATACGCAGCCACACAAGTGTCATTGACGAACAAGAAGCAGCAAATTTCAGCATATGAACTTCAATCTAGTAGCTCTAGATTTTATCAAGCTTTTCGGCCTTGACAACCGGATTGGCTTTAGCAATAGCATCCTGAGCAGCGGTGCGGTAATCAAATGGGCAGTCATGTTTGTCTGAGTAGCGATGTGATCCACAGAACATATTACCACAACGACACATGAACCCAGTTAAGCCAACACGTTTCTTACAAGTGCTGCACCGTTTAGGACCCTCCGTTGCCTTTTCCTCGCCAGTTACCCCAAAAGAAAAATCATGAGATGGCAGTGGAGCAAAAAAATTTTCTTTCACTGAATCAACTTGCACATCCACTGTGTCAGCAATGATGGGTTCCTTTCCATTGCCACTTGATGATCCATTAACAATATTCTCAATGGATGAAGCAGCAAGTTTTGCCTGCTCTTGTTTCACTACCAAGTCCCTGTGGCACTTGGAACACATGTTCATGGTCGCCGCACTTCCGAAGAAGCCACAGTTATTAATGCAAAGAATAGGACCTTCAGGAGGAGGTTGGCATCCCATTTCATCATGCTCCATTTTTTCACCTCCCCTGCACAAAATTCACTTGAGAATCTACAATCAAAAATTAAATTTGCATTCACCTGAGAGAAAAAAAGAAAAAAAAGAAGAAGAAAAAGGAAATTCCTTCCCAACCTCTACAAACATAAATATGTGAATTGACATGCAATTACAAGGAATAGCCACTACTAGCATGCAATAGATAGAACCACAAGATCAGTGTGAACTAAACAAAACTAGACAGAATAGTCATGCAATTCACCCTATCATATTAAAATATAAATTCCAATGATGACCTCTGCAAAAGATTAAATTATCAAAAAGTAATTAAATCAAAATTGTAAGTTACCACACTGCTAATGAATTTCAATGATGAACTCTCACGGATGTCTCTTGCATATTCCAAATTCCCTCACACAATGATCTGAACTCATAGAAACTAATGGCATATGCCCTCTACAAATAATTGGAAAGTTGGAAACATGGCAAATGCAAATTGAAAAAGTATAGGATAATGGGATGAAGAACTAATGCCAAATTGATTATTTGAAGATAAACTCCAAAGCTAAAGAAGAAAAACTGCATGATGACCCTACCATAAATAGTTCCAAGACATACTCATCAAGGACTTAAAAAACTCATCATCAGTATAACCAACCTAGACAATCAATCAGAAATCTAAACATAAAGTAAATCCACATGAATGGGTCTCAAACCTTCCAACTGAATGTATTTATCCCAATGGGATAAAAATTTAGTAAAAACAGTTCCCCCGAAATCAAGGTTGACAGGATCGGCATTCTACGTAGGAACGTTGGGCGCTCCGTAGAATCGGAATCATAGAATCAAATCGAAAATCATAAGGTTCTACCAAACTAGGAGAAAAATCATTCAACATAACTTCTTTTTTTTTTTTTGTTTGATAAGTCATTCAACATAACTTCTTAAACAATAACATCTCTAAAACATAGCAAAAATAAGCCCAAAATACAATATATATATATATATATAAGTTTCACTCTAAATATAGTTAGATACATATGGGGATAAATTCATACATATATATCTAAGAGAATGTAGTTCAAAAGGTACAGCTCTCATGACAACTATACAACATCAATTCAATTAGAATCGCAAGACGCAGTACTAACTTGCAGTAGATGCTAGGTAGTAGGTCCAAGAGGAATCAACCAAGGTTTGTTAAAAAGTAAATCCATATTATAATTATTATTATCATCATCATCATTAACAAGTAACTAAACATTATTTATCTAAAAATTGGGTGATAGACACCCCATTTTTTGTCTATAAAAAATATCTGCATTGTATTAAAGGAATGAGTGAACAATTTCTCATTATATGAACATTAAACATGAACTAATAGTCAATAGTCTAATACCAAGTAACAATTTACTAGATCAAAACTAAATAATAAAACCAAGAAGTCAAGAACCAAAAGTTCGAAACGGAAAAACAAGCAAATAGAACTCATCCCCTATATTTACTGAAAAATCACAATCAGCCATGCATATAAAAAAGAAAAGAAAAAAAAAACACTGAACTCTACCATTCTACCGATTCAAGAATTGATTTATGTGGTATTCAGATCAATTTGGTGTACTAGGATTGTAGAGTATCTACAATCCCGAAATCGATGTATAAATTACAAAGTAATTATGGTTCTATAAAGAGCAAAAAAAGCAAAACAATTTTCTTTTTCCACTAAAAAGTAAAATAAACTTAACAAAGAAGATATTTCAATAAAGAACACGACTTTAAACAAAAGTAACCCTCAAGCAATTTTTTATTATATTATTATTATTTTTTTTCAAAAAATTATTATTATTTTTTATTTTTTGAAAGCACGCTTTCCTCAAATTCAAATATTATTTGAACACTCGTAATCAATTTGTAAACCATTCTGTAAATTGTAACAACAGCCCCAACACACCCAATATTTGAATTTCAAAGTCTACAAACAAACACCCTTAATCCTGCAGGCTAATAAAAAATTCAACTAATTTCGACCATTAAAAAAACCTCAACCTAAAAGTCCTAACCCCAAAGTTGGTAAATTCATCAGCATAATTGAAAACCCTAACCTGCTCGCCAGATAACCTCTTCGAAAATTCAACTCCTCCTGCCCAGCTCTAACCTCAAAATCGCATAAGATGAGTCCTGTATTCATCAAATAAAACAAATCCGGATTCGAGTAAACTACAACAGATCGATGCAGAAAAGCATAAATAAAAATTCTTCATAATCATATGGCCATAAAAATTTATAGATATAGAGAAAAACATGTGAAAGAGATTAAAATGCTAACCCTAGAGATCGATGGAGATCGTCGAAGAGAGATAGAGAGAGAATTTGTGATATACGTTTCTCTCTCCGTCTCTTTCTTCGATTTCTATATAGGCGACCCTCTTTCTCTGCCAAGTGCCAATTAGCGATTTTTATCGATGAGCAATTGCTATTTGTTACCTTCGTTCACGTAACTCATGCTCCAATTTTGCCATTACTCAGACTTACATTAACGGTTTTGCCATTGCCTTTCTTTTTCATTATTTAGGAAACTTAGTGAATTTTTATATTACCATCTAATACTATTAAAGTAAAATTACAAAATTAGACCAAAGGAAACAAACCATCAAATACTATTAAAGTAAAATTACAAAATTAGACATTCTTCAACGGAAACAAAAGTTAAAAAATCATATCATTGCCGTCAATTGCAATAGTGTGCCGATCAGAAGCAAAGTAAAAAACAATATCCGCAACAAAATTCTAATGAATCACAACAAAACACATTCCAACTTCCAAATGTTACAACAAAATTGAACTATCATAAGATATCCTTTTTTTTTTTTTTTTTTTTTTTACTAGATTAATGAATGTTTTCTTTTTGAAACAGATTTGTGTTGTCATTTCCCTTCCTTTAAAATCATCCGAATAATGTCAATGACTACAATAAAAAATGTCCATCAATAGATGATTACTTTTAGGCATATGTATAACATGGATTAATTAAATATTAAGATTTATCTACAATCCACCACTTTATGTTCATTACTTGCTTCCCATTGTTTAACCATGGCAATCAGCACACTATTGCAATTAACGACAACGACAGGGATTCTTAAATTTTTTGTTTCCTCTGCAAGAGTGTCTAATTTTGTAATTTCACTTTAATGATATTTGATGGTAATAGAAAAATTCATTAAGTTTCCTAAATAGTGAAAAAGAAGTCTGATTAAATAATTATTCGTTGGATTAGATCCTAACGTTGAAATTAAATGTGAGTATAGTATTTTCTGTTCACCAAGAGTAGTTGAACACCTCTGTGTGTGTGTGTGTGTCTATATATATATTTGTCATTAGCAAAAAAGAGACTAGAATTCTCACCATCTATTTAGGAGTAGAGAATATACCATTGGACAGGCCCTTGTCACTAGTGGTAGCAATTCGTATTCGTGGGTCGTATTCGTATCGTGTCGATGTAAGGGTATTATACTAAATAGGTTTAGATCCTAACGTTGAAATTAAATGTGAGTATAGTATTTTCTGTTCACCAAGAGTAGTTGAATACCTATGTGTGTGTGTGTGTGTGTGTGTGTCTATATATATATTTGTCATTAGCAAAAAAGAGACTAGAATTCTCACCATCTATTTAGGAGTAAAGAATATACCATTGGACAGGCCCTTGTCATTAGGGGTAGCAATTCGTATTCGTGGGTCGTATTCGTATCGTGTCGATGTAAGGGTATTATACTAAATAGGTAAATCCTAACTCAACCCATTTAATAATCGTGTCAAGAATCTTAACACTAATCCAACCCGTTTATTAAACAGGGGTGCGTTTAGTAACATTTTCGTTTTCTGTTTTTGCAGTCACAAAGAAACATAAACATAATTTTGTTTTTCGAAATAAAAACAAAAAACAAAAATAACGTTTAGTAACCTTTGCTGTTACAAAAATATATTTTTTTTAGAAATTTTTTTAATTTATTTTTTCATTCATCTATCAAAATCTAACTTTCAATCCCAATAAAAGATATAATCTAAAAGAGAAGAACCAATACCATAACAAGCAATATTAAAATCACAGTTCTTAATAATACATAGTAATAAAATTTATAACGACTACACCATAACAAATAATATTAAAGTCACAATTCTTAATAATACATAGTAATAAAATTCATAACAACCACATGACACTATGAATCACCCTCTATGAAAGTTGTTCCACAGCTCATTTGTGATTGAATCACGAACTCCATTCATTAGTCGTATTTGATCTTGAGTAACTCTTACATCAGCTGGGACATGAGGTGTAGAGGTACTAGCTGATTCATCTTCTTCAAGACCAACATTCTCATTTTCAAATTCATTAAATAAACGATCTAAACGTGCTTCATCACAAATGAAATTATGGATTGTGCAACAAGCAACCACGATTTGTGCTTGAACGTCTACATCATAACTCGACATCAACTTAAGAATGGGAAAACGTTTCTTAAGTATCCCAAAATGACGTTCAATGACATTTCTAAGTGATGAGTGTCTATAGTTGAATATCTCTTTAGGGCCACGTACTTGTCCCCTACGACCTCTATAATCTTGCAAATGATACCGAACACCACGATGTGGTGCTAAGAATGTAGACATATTAGCATATTCAGAATCAACTTGGTAGTACTTACCTGTCACAAAATATTACTATACATTAATGTATATTTTTAATATAAGCATAAACAACCTTACAACAACAACAACATTACCTTCAAGTGGTGTTGGAATTTGCATACTATCATTGAAAATAGTCTCCATTAAAACTCTGGAGTCATTTACACTACCTTCCCATCCAGCCAATACATAAGAAAATCTCATGTCAAAAGAACACACGGCCAAAATATTTTGTGTTGTATCTGACTTCCTCCAATTTGACTAGATGATGGAACATATGCGTGGATGTGTGTTCCATCAATTGCTCCAACACAGTTCTACATTTGTAATATATTTATATATTTTTTGAATTTCATAATACAAATAAAAATAATAAGGAAATAAAAATATACTTGAGTTTAAAAAAAAAAAAAAAAAAACCTAACCTTGAAGAATGGATAAAACTTATCATTGTTGCGGATTTCTGGAGGTACAATGTTAAAATCCAGTGGACGAATTATTTGCTGCCCCAATTTACACACATAATAAAGGCATCGATGAAAATATTTGGAGACTGTACCTGTAGAATGTTGAAATCTCTCGGCCACTACTTGAACTCTCTCATTGTGTGCAAGAGTATACAAGAACATTCCCACTGGCTCTTGCACAGTTAAGTACCTAGAATCTTTTAATCCCAATCCCTTCAATCGTTCACATAGATTTATAAAGACATGCACTTCCATCTTGAACATTTGAAAACATCTAGTAGGGTGGCCACTTAATATTTCAAGCAAATAAGCATGGCCTTGAAGCTCAGAAGTTCTACATGGCCTTGGCTTCATATTACGTTCAAAATACTCGTCCATTAGTAAAACAAATAAAAATAAAATGTGCTCATCGTCGAAAGGAAAATTGAAAAGATACATTGAAGGGAAACTTTGCCCTCTATTTATACATGAAATGGACTTGAAATTAACATTTTGAAGTCCGCATAGTGCATGGGATCGTGTGCTTGAATAATGCAGTCGGTCGGCCCACCACTAAGTGCTGTCGCCTTATCGGATGAAAAGTAGACATCTGATTAAGGAAATACTGTAGAACCAAAGACTTTTGGGAAAAGTTCTTTGTCTTCTTCTGTCGGCAGGATAAGAGGAATCTTTACTTTTTGGGTGGATTCATCTTGTCCATCAAGTGGTCGGTGAGGGAGTCCCAATAATCGGCTACTGTGGGTTCATCTTCAGAAATAAGATCTTCATTGGGATCTTGTGCATAACCAGCTAGACAGGAAAACTGATTACCATCTTGACTGGTCTGGCTAGAGACTGATACCATAGATGCATCATCTTGTACTGTAGGTGTGGAGGAATTAAAAGATTTAACAAATTTATTCCTCATAAAATCCATAGATTTAACCATTAAATCTGCTTTGGTAATTAATGGTTGTTGCTTTCTGATCATATCTTTAACAAGTTCAAATGGGTTAAAGATTTCTGGTTCTGGAATAGTTAACTTTGGAACATTATCCATGTATTCCAATGTTTTCTTTCTGATAAGATGGTGGAGAGCTTGAATAGGGTCTTGAGTCATGCCAGACCACCATCGATAATAAAAAATCCTCTGAAGGACTGGTAACTTATCAGTGGTATAACCACATTGAAAATCCCATTTCCAAATCCAAGGGATTCCAAATTCAGTAAAGAATAATAGGGTGGATTTCCCTACAGGAATATTATCCTGTCCTCTTAATTGAGGATGAAATTGTTGCCATGGCAAGTATAACTGCCTAATTGATTCGGGCAACACATCCAGATCAGGGCCAAATATAGCCCACCAGGGTATAACCCAGTTTGGGAAATCAGCCTTAACTGATTGAGGGCATATCTTGAGGAACCAAGAATACTTATGCATCGGATTTTGGTAAAAGAACGAATATGTCCATGCTGAGATATAATCCCAATAATTATAACTATAACCATAGGATATTTTCCTTGGTAAATTAGGATTTAATCCCAGTCACTAGGCCGTATAAGCCTCTTAAAGATAGCTTTACTATAAGTAAGAGGACTATCTTTGGAATTCGAAAATTGCTTCGTGTGGGTGATCTTGAGAATCCAGTACCAATACTGTCTGAATATACCTTTGATTAGGTATCCATGGAGTTTCTTGTTCAAGAACCTCTTTCATAGTTGGTTTCTGTTGTTTCTGTTGTGAACTGCTGCTGCCTTTTGGAGGTGTGCTGAGCAGATCAGGAACATGATCCAAATATGGAAATTGATCATCATTTAGTGGTATAACCACTTTGGCCTTAGCCTTGTTTTTCCCACGAGCCTTTGGAGTATTACCCCGGCCCTGCCCATGAGGGGGCTGATTCATGAACCCTGCAAAAATTCACGAGTTAGAAAATCAGGTAAAGAATTAGAACTGTCTTTAATATATTCAATAGAAAAATCAAAAACAGATAAATCAGCTTGCCAACCAGCAAATATCTGTTTGGAAACTAAATTCTTTATATCTTTTTCCAGTACCTGTTTAGCAGCACTACAATCAATGCGTAACAGGAATTTCTGATTGATTAAATCATCTTGGAATTTATAAATGCATTTAACCAAAGAAAGAATTTCTTTTTTGATGGTTGAATAATTTAATTGTGCATTTTTCCAGGTGCCTGAAGTGAAGCGAACAAGCTCCTCTGTTCCTGTATTTGGATTCTTTTGTTTAAGAATACCACCATATCCAATATTGGATGCATCGGTTTCCACAATTTTGAACCATGAAGAATTGGCTAGAGCTAAGCAA